TTGGATGAACTTTGTCTCTGAGGGCTGAATGAGAAGGGGGGGGGGGGTTTCATGGGGACGCGGACAATGCATGGGGTGGGTGTTGTGTGTGTGTGTGTGTGTGTGTTGTGTGTGTGCCCCCCTGGGAAGGCTACCTCCTCGGCCGCCGTGCGGAGGCTGTGGCGCTGGTAGGCGAGGGAGGAGAGGCTGAGCAGGTGGGTCTTCTTGACCAGGGAGTCCAGGCGGTGGTCCGCGTCCTCCTCGCAGGGGGAGGCCATCAGGTGGACGTTCACCAGGCCCAGGTCGCTCACCATCTGCACGATGCTCCACTCGGAGATCAGGCGGCGCATCACCGTTCCGGCTGCAGGGAGGGAGGGAGGGAGGGAGGGAGAGGAGAGGGTCAGGGGCTGGGAGTGGGGGGGAGGCCCTGCCAGGCCATCAGGATCCGCACTCGGGGGGGCCCCCCACCCGGCCCCCTTCGCTTACCCTGAGGAATGAGCCGCTGGGTGCCACGGGTGAAGATGTGTCCCTGGCCACACTCCAGCTGGATGCCACGCTGCTGGGCAAAGGAGGCCCAGTAGTGGATCTGGGGAGGGGGCACAGGGGAGGGGAGGGGAGGGCAGCCCGTCAGGTGGAAGGCTCCGTCCCCGTTAGAGAGAGACCCCGGGGTGGTGGGGTCGGGCTGCTGCCCTAAAAATCCTCTCAACACATTTTCCAAAGAAATAAATGTTTCTAAAGAAAGACAATTTCCTAAATAAACAAGCATTTCTTTCCTAAACACGTTCTCCAAATCCATCAGTACATTTTTCCACAATAATAATTTTTCTAGATAAGGAAACGGGTGTTTTTTTTTCTAAACGAATGAAAAAAAATCTAAGCAAATATTTCTCTAAAGAAAAAAAGTACCATAAACGACGCTACAAAAAAAAACGCACGAAACAAATATGATTCCTGAATAAGAATTCTGAGTAAATAAAGGAATGTTCTAAATAAAATAAATTTTTGAATGAATGGAGAGAGAAGGAAGGAAAGGAAAAAAAAGAGAGAGAGAGAGAGAGAGAGAGAGAGAGAAAGAAAGAAAGAAAGAAAGAAGAAAGAAAGAAAGAAAGACAGAAAGAAAGAAAG